ATCCCAGGCAGGTGACAGCAGGTGACAAGCTGAGAAGGGCATCCAGGCAGGTGACGGCAGGTGACAAGCTGAGAAGGGCATCCCAGGCAGGTGACGGCAGGTGACAAGATGGGAAAGGGCGTCCCAGGCAGGTGACGGCAGGTGATGGCAGGTGGCAAGATGGGAAGGGTGTCCCAGGCAGGTGATGGCAGGTGATGGCAGGTGATGGCAGGTGACAAGATGGGAAAGGGCATCCCAGGCAGATGACGGCAGGTGACAAGCTGAGAAGGGCATCCCAGGCAGGTGACGGCAGGTGACGGCAGGTGGCAAGATGGGAAAGGGCGTCCCAGGCAGGTGACGGCAGGTGATGGCAGGTGGCAAGATGGGAAGGGCGTCCCAGGCAGGTGACAGCAGGCACACAGGTGTGTGATATGGAGGGTGCCAGGTGGGTATGTGGCGCTTCCCCAGGGAGCGGTCGAGGGGCCGGTGTCTTTTCAACCTTTGCTCCGTGCAGGACAGATGGAGACGGCTTCTTGCTGACACAGTGAAGCATGGTTCTGAGCCATGGCAAGGTCGCAGTGTCCTTCAAGGTCACGGTGGGTCAGAGACCTTGACAGACAGAACCCCTGAAGGCTAGGCCACACATGGATGTTGGTTCTGCGGCTCATCTGGAAGCTTCTATGTCTTGAGCAGCTTATGGGTTTGAGCACGAAGCTTGGCACCATGTCGACACTCAGATTGGTTATAAAAGCCTCGTTCTCCCGGCCTCTGAGGGCTTTATATTTATTAGAGATTCAAAGTGGCTTGATTACATCCCAGATGGGGCGGCATCTGATTTCTAAGGAACAGAGGGGAGGCTTGTTTGTCAAAACTCTTTGAAAAGATGCAGGCTTAGTCAAGGTTAATAGTTTGGGATTGATATTATTACCAGATCTTGGTTTGATTTCTTTTTTAAAAAGATTTATTTATTGATGCATACAGAACTGGGGTACAGGTCAGAGGTGCAGGGGCAGTGAGAGGATTCACCAGAGACTGAGTCGGGGAGCAGAACAGGTAGATCGACAAAGTACACTGCTGAGGGGAGCAGCGGGCAGGTCAAGGGATCTGCTGCGCCATGTGGGTCAGCTCCGGGGTGGGGATTGAACTCACGCTGAATTGGCTGTGCCTCACTTGTGGTGCTGCATCCTAACCCATTGTGCCACCAGGGAGGGCCAGTTTGATTTCTTAAGGATTCTACCTGCTCCAGGTTCTCCTTTTCCATCATGGACTTTACAAGGATGAAGTATAATAGTAGGACTTCAGAACACCTGGAAAGACCTAGAAAAGCGGTCTTAAGCGAGTGGCTTCCCCACACCCTTTTTGGTGGCTTCTTCTCATTCCTGGTGAGGGATGCTTTGATGCTTTACCTGGACAAGGAGCAGTGTGGCGTGCTGGTACTTGTTTTCCTGGCGCTTCATGGGACTAACGTGGGGACCGTCCTGGCAGGTCTGCTCCTTCATACAGGGAGCGAAGAAAGGCTGGATTAACCATCAGTCTGTTCCATACGCCTCCAAGGGGAACGAGTGGGTTGGCTACGATGATGCTTTCAGTTTCAGTTACAAGGTGAGACTCAGCCCTTTCCTGCTGCAACGTATATTGAATAGTTCCCTCTGGCGTCCACGAGGCCTTATTCTGTATGTTGGTACAGTGTGTGTGTGTGTGTGTGTGTGTGTGTGTGTGTGTGTGTGTGTTTGCATGAGCACACACACAGTCAAGCATATGCTGGGTGGAGGATTTCAAGCAAGAGCAGTAAGTTAGGGAGTCAAATACATCACTGTCACAAGCATTTGGGGGCCTCATTTCTCGTTACTCCCAACATATTAATCAGGGTCAAGTGTGATTCAATGAGACTTAAACCAAGAATAAGAAAATGAACCAGAAGGAGTAAATAAAGACATTAGAGTGATGAGTCAAATCAAGATTACCCTCTTAGCCCTTTTTTTCTTCCTCCAAAACGGTCTCTCCTGCAATATACCTGTGGTGGCTGTAGCTCTCCAGCTCCCTCTAGTGGAAACATTTTCATTAGGTCTAAGCGTTGGCGGCTGTCAGATAACTACTCATGATGTTGTGTTAAGCCCAGAACATTCTTGCATGGCCATCACTCATGGAACACATTCCCTGAACTAATCTTCTGGCCGCCTCATGTATCACCTCCCCCGACTATGGGTATACAAACAACCTCTTCTTCTGAGACAGAGAGCCTCAGTTTTCAGGGGAGAAATGACTTCTCAGTTTATGCAAGTTTTGGGGAATAATCTTCTGATTGTATCAGCTAGCTTCAGGTCAGATAGGTAAATATGGGTATGAGCTAGTTATGCTAAGTGCTCCATGAATATTCACATGGAAGTCAGGGAGGACTTCCTGAAAGAGGTGAGCAGGAGGAGGAGATAAGGACATGGAAAAGGCTTGGGGGTACTGAAAGCTTGGTCAAAGCGGTTTTGAAGAAATTGTTGGTGTAGTAGAAAAGTTCTGTAAAGTTTAAGGGAAGGCAGTAAAGTCAGGCCAGTTAATGGAGGGACTTGAATGCTGGCAAAGGAGTTCTGCCACCACCCTGCGGATGTTTTAAGGTAACGCTAGGTTTCTGAGATCTCAGATACCTGTGATCTCGAAGCCTTTAGGAGTGAACGGTGGCCAATCCCATCCTTCATCCCTTTGGGCCTGCCTGCCCCCAACCTCAGCAGTGTTGTATGAACTGGAACCTGTTGTTTATTAATTGTAATTTATTATTTAACTTGGTGAATTAAAGCAGAAACAGCATGTTCAGTGGTTTCTGGATCTGCCTCTGCTTTGGAATCACCTACCAGACTTGGGAAATGTAGAAACTTGGTTCTACCCCCAAACGTTCATCGCGTCTGGAAGCTGCTTTTAGTATGTCAACATATGATCCTGCTCTGTCTCCTCCTGTTGGCTGATGTTTGGGGGGAATTAGGTCGGAAAGCTCAAGACACAGAGAAGCAGTCACAGATACTCACGTGTTCTCTGTGTGTTAATTACTCTGGGGCAGTCCGCCGTGGGGAGAAAGGTCCAGAGCAAGGTTTTCAGCCTCCAGGATTTTACTCTGTGGTTTGAGAATGGAAGATACAAAGAAACAAGGTCAGTGACTCCTTGGGATGGTCCAGCTGGATGGGACAGAGGTCTTACCCATAGGGCAGGGGGCGGGGCTGCCCCCGGGTCCATCAGCCAAGGGCGGCTAGCGCCTGACGTGAGTTAGTGTGAGAAGGAGGATTCTATGATTTCATCTTAGAATCCCAGAGGTGAGAGAGTTTGGAGACCATTTCCGGGAGGTAATTATGCCTGGGCTTCTCAGTGTTCCTGCATCATCTGGGCATCCTGAGCAAGGGAAACAGACCAGTTATAATGATGACGATGACAACATGCTGCTTCTCCCTCTTTCCCAGAGCCGTTTGCTTACACTGGAGGGTTGTAAATGTCCCCTCCTCACAGAGGACCTGTTTCAATCCAGCGTGAAGCTCTCTGTCTCTCTGGAGGGATGATGGCCAGATATCCCCTCTTTTCTATATAAGCTTGAATCTCACAATTTTTGGGTTCTTATCCATTGTTGCAGGTCCCTCCTTTTCATGCAGGTGAATATCTGACCGCTATCATGTCACTTTTGGGTGACCGTGCACCGTTTGAGCATGTCAACTCAAGGGTCTCTTCTGGCTGTTTGTTTCTGGCATGTGCACTGCCCATCAGTTCTCTGACCCACAGAGAGGGGGTGCTCACAGTTGCATGCACAATATAAAAGCAGCAGGATGACTCAGGAGCTTGGAAGTGGAGATGATTCAGACCACTGCATTTGGGTTCTTTCTTTCTTATTTTGCCTTTGGGGAAACTGAGTCCCAGGAAGGCACTAAGTGTCTTGCAGCCATTTAGAGCTACAATGTCTTTCATCATCCTTGGAAGATAGCACCAGCAAGGCGAGAATAGGCTCTGGACGGGAGTCTGAACTCTGCCATTTGGTTATAACCAGTCTGCAGGAGAGTCGGGTCAGTGGGTTGACTAGTGCCACTTTTACAGGCATTATTCATAAAGAAAGAGCATTTGGGAGGCGCCATGGTGTGGACCTTGGACCTGGATGACGTCAGGGGCACTTTCTGTGGCCACGGCCCTTACCCCCTCGTGTCCAAGCTGCACTACTTCCTGGTGCAGGCTGGTAAGTAGCTCCGGCTGCAAGCTGGAGCCAGAAGTTGTATGACCAGCAGGCCCGGCGGGTCCCTATTCTTAGTGCTGAAGACCTTGGTGAAGCAAGATGACATGGAGGGAAGAGAGCACACTTGGCTCTCAGGTCAGCCTGCTTTCCAATCTTGGCTTGACACAAGGGCCATTTGCCCTTTGCGCTGAGTTTTCCTTATCTCCGAAGCGGGAATAACCCTCATATTCATGCCAGGGTTCTGAGAACCAAATGAAACAGGTATGAAACTGCTGGCTCACAGTCCACACTCTGTATGCATTTGTCTGTTTCTCTGTTTCCTGCTTCTGCTTTCATAAGTAAAGGCCCAGAGAAGGAAATAAGTTTCTTTTGCTATTTGATAGTAGAAACTGCCCTGGAAGTTAGGAGATAAAACAGACTTGGAGATGGTTTACAGTCTCATTCTATGGATAGGGAGAAGGAGGTTCAGAGAGGTGAAAGCTACCTAGGGGGAGACAGGACTCCGGCACACTACTTCCTAACATGTGTCTAGGGCAGCCCGCCTCACTGGTATCCCTGCACTCCTGCTCCTATGCAGGCGACACAGAAGGTCCAAAAGTAAGGAGTTAGGCCTCGGAGCAAGGTCCCGCTGCCAGGCAAAGGTCAAGGTGAGGTCTGAAGCCTGGAGACAGGATGCTCTTCCTTGGGTCACAGACTGGAAATACAACAAACCCACCGAGCTCTGGGCACCTGGGGTCATGTTAACGCGATGAGGCAGGAGACAGGTCTTCTGTGAGGGAGGATTTTAGCTGCATCCTCAAGCGGGCACATTCTGAAGGCCTCTCATTCTGGATTTTGGGAGCAGGTAGTACTTCAGCCTGAGAGTCCTTTTTGCCTGCCAGTAATGAATAGGCCAGGCAGGAGGAGGTGGGAATCTTATCCTCTTCGATTTCCTCTAGAGTCCAACTCAACAACTTCACCAATGTATTGGTCCTCACCTGCGAAGCATTCTTCAGGCGTGGGCTCTGGAAGGCCAACCGTGACAACAGAGTTGGCCAACTTCTTCCCAGGAAGAGAGGTCACGACCAGGAAGGCCCAGGTGGGGTCTGACACCATGACAACAACCTCCAGAGGTAAAACTGTGACACTTCCAGATCATATACTGTACAGAGAGCAAACCACAGTTCTGGAAGAGAATACCGAGACCTCTGAAGGGACCATCAGCTCCACATATAGTTTGGACTGAGTAGTCTGTGCCCTGGAAGAGACGAATTCAACCACTGCTCTGAGCACCACCCCCTGGAAGAAAGGCTGTTTCTCCTAAAAAGACGACCCCTTCCCTCCTCCACACCCAGAAAGATGATAGCCTACTCTGATGTTGCCAATGAGGCCTCTCAGAGGATGACATTTTTTTCTGAGGTAGACACTGAGCCCCATGAGATATTCTGGTCTTCAAATGGAAGCTGAAAATGAGCTGCTCTTTCCTGATACTGCCATGTAGTTCTCAGGACACACCCCCTTGACCTTTTGACAACCCTTTTGTGACCCCATCAATGGGAACTAATTTGTCATCTTTCCTCAAGGGGAGAGAGAGGGCTTTCTGTGAGCTTTCTCTTTGTGGTGGGAGGAATTCAGACATGTTTGCTGTAGGTCAGGAAGCTCAAGTCTGTTTGTGGCAGAGACTGGGGGTGGGGTGGGGTGGGGAGCCATCATTTCTTCTAGGTCCCGTGACAGATGCTCCTTGGGCCCAGGTGTTCATGAGGCAAAGCTGGCCCCAAAGTCACACTGAGCTAATCTCATTTCTGCTGAATAAACTAGAAACGCAAGACTCCATCTGAGTTCTCTGAAGTTCTTTTTTCGAAATCATGGGTACAACCCAGTTGTCCCTGTAGGTCCACATTCCCTGGCTGTACTTTCTGGAAGTTTCGGGCTAGCTCACACTGTTTTCCAGCAGGGAGTATGTGTTTCTCTCTCTGACATGAACAACTGCTCACGTCTCTGAGGGTCAGAGCCAGAAATCTCTTCTAGAGAAGTTTTTCACAATCCTCAAGGGGATGGGGCTAGAAAAAGGGGTGGTCGAGTCTTCAGATTATATCTGCATGGCAAAATCTCAGTGCTCTGTCCTATAACCTCCCAGCATTCTTTCTATCAGAAGTGGTTGAGGGCAAGGAGAGACACGGTCTATTTCATGTTCCCTGCATGCTTCTCCTGGGCCTCCTCCAGAAATGCCAGTTCTCTCAGCCTGCTCTGAGTTTATCCAGAGAATGTTCCCCTGAGCATATCCAACCTTGTAAGTGAACAAAGGCCTGAGGTTAATTTTATGCCCTCCTGTACCAGGAAAAAACAACACTCAAGAGTGGCTGTCATACCTAGTACACGCTACCTCTTCTTTCGAAGCGTCCCTCCATGTTTTCAGGTCAAGGGCCTCCAACCCAAGCGCCGTAGAACCAGGCGCCTCCCACCAATGACTGAACCACGTGACAACACAACTATCCCAAAGGGCTCTTACACTGTGTTCATTTTTAAAATTTTTTTCCTCCTTGTTCTACTTGGATGTTCTTCATTTTTAAAATTTTTTTCCTCCTTGTTCTACTTGGATGTTCTTCAACCTTGTGTGTTTGAGCCTATTAATTCTCTCCACCGCTCCTGTATGTCTGCTGTTGAGCCCCGGATTGTATTTTTTAATTCAGTTCTGGTATTTCTTAGCGGTTGCTTCTGATTCTTTTGCTATTTTGTATCTCCCATTTTCCTTTTGAATTCCCTAAATATTGTTATAACTGTCAACCTTACACTCATCTGCAGTCATGGGAGACTCTTCTTGGTTTTTTTTTTGTTGTTGTTGTTGTTATTTGGCTTCAGCATTTATGTTCTTCTGTCTTGTTATTACTCTTTGTGGGAACAATAGGGACAGACCTCAAGCTGTTGTCTTTGGACCTACTAAGGGACAAGAGCAGATGGTGTGAAGGACACCAGGGCATAGGGCCAGCACAGGGCCCTCCAGGAAACGGCAGGAACGCCAGCTTCCTGCTGTGCTGTGGGTGCCAGAGTTGAGGGGGGATCCCCGGGGAACCCCTCCCCTAAGCCAGGGGTGTTGAGCACTAGCTGCAGCTCTGAGCAGGGACTAGAGTTGCTGGGGGCCGTCGGCTGTGAACATCTCTCCTTTTCCAGCATGGACTCTTATCCTGGAGTGTTTGCGTCTGTTCCTAACAGGTGTTTGAGTGCTAGTTTGAATAAACATTCGATAACACCTACACACCTTGAAAAAAGGTAATGGGACACTGTTTAAATGCTAAGATTATCAGTAGAATAATATACATATCAAACTTCTGGAAGAAGAAAATGATGAAATAGACAGAAGTCCTTGTGGGAAAAAAAGAATAAGAAAAATAGGTAGCGCCCAAGCAATGGAAATAAAATATGGTTAGTACAAAATAATTCAAAAAGGAGAGAAAATAGGGCCTACAACAGGCAGAAAGTAGGAGCCACTAGATAGATTTAAACACAAATCTATCAGTAACTACAGTAAACACATGTGACTAATACTCTACTAAAGACAGATTGTTGCGCTTCAGGAAACTTATGCCCAGAAGCCACTTGCCAGTTTAAGGTTCAGTGGGGCAGGAGGTTGGGGGACTTGAATGGGAACTGTTGCTGGGGAAAGCTGAACTTCATTCAGTCTCCTCGGATTGGAGAGATGGTTTTGCATTTGTTCTCATGCACCCCCCCAGGGAGCTCACGTCAGAACCTGGGGGAATCAGAAGCAGAGGAATATTTCAAAATCTGCAACCCAGTCTGTTAGGGCCGAGCTCCCTGTCTGAGCAGGTTGGGAAGGGCTGCTCCTTACCCCATCAGCAGGCAGAGAGGAGCCCTGGCAGGCAGCGAGGCAGAGGCAGGGGAGGGGCTGGCCCAGAGGAGTGACCAGACTCATGTACGGTCCACCTGTGGTCTCTGTCCAAGAGAGAGAGGCACGGAGAAGGTGTTAGGAGTCACTTACTAATTTGAATTTTGAAGTCTCTTAAAATGTTAACTTTTACGCTCTTTGTAGTTTTGAATGTTGCCACGAGGGGGCAGCAACACACAGAGTTACCCTTTTTATGGGGCAGGCAGGAACCTTGACGACGTGAAAAGCAATCGGATTACCTTTCCAGAAAAAAATGAAACCCAATAGAAATCTCCCTGTCTTCGTTATCACTAAGGAAGTATCACTGACATGATACCCTCGTGTAACTTGAAGCAGAAAGGGTGTGAGCGCCTGTTAGGGGCGGGGGTTGGGTCCAGGTTGACCAGACTTGAAACCCCACGTGGGCCTTTTCTTAACTATGTGATGGCGAGGATGTTAAGTTAGCCTTGTAATGCTAGAGCTGGTATAAAGTTGGTGCTCAGTACGTGGGGGTTATTGTTATGTTTCCTCTGTAAGTCTTAAGTTTCCCTTTCTATAAAGGAGCATTCAATCAAGCATGAAACTGGAATTTCTTTGGGTTTGTGCCGAGATCAAAGGCCCTAGGGTAGATTTATGACACAGTTCCAGTAACTTTTCTCATGTTCCCTGCAACATTACTGTAGTATTTAAGACCTGTGGTGGAAAGGAACTTTAACACAATTAGTATACAATATAAAGTGAAAGAGGATGGATAAAATAGCTTTCAATTAAACACCCCTAGTCACCCACCCTCTGGTGGGTGAATGCCCAGCCAAACAGGGCTGGCCCAAAGCAGGGCCACTGAGACTCAAAAGCTGCCACATGTCTAAGGCACCTTTTGGGGGAGGCCCACAGGAAAGGGGAGGAAGGGGGCCAGAAGGAAAACAGCAAAATCCAAATCAAGATGAAAGCTGCCATGTTAACCTCCCCACAGGCCTCTCACCCACGTCTGTTTCAAGTGTCTCCTTCCATGCCCCCCCCAGTCCCTGGGATAAGCCAGGATCAAAGCCCAGCTTCTTCACAAGTCTCTTTGTTCCATGTATCTCCTCCAGTTCTCCTTCCTGTCTTCCTTCCTTCCTTCCTTCTCCCAGTCTCCTTTCTAGTTTCCCCCACTTCCTACCCTTCCTTGGGTGGGGCAGGGCACATGGAACCTCCCTTTTTCCCCGGGGACCAGCCAGTTACAAGATCCCACTGCCTCAGACTTGACTGTGTGTCTCCATTCCCCAGAGATGCTGGTGCTATCATGCGAATTCGTCTTCTCCCCCTTCCAGAGCTTCCGCAGAGTGAGCAGAGAGTAGGCATTTCAGTAATCGTACCTGGTTTGTAAACTAAAAATGTGCATGTAAAGAGCAAAGCCTGTCACTGACTACAGGAATCTTACAAGGGAGACTATAGACCAGATGAGGGGGCGAGAGAAGTGGAGAGTAGACCAAATGGCTTGTGCTTTGGAACCAAAGGACAAATTGTCCCTTTGTCCTGGCAGAAGTTGCTAGTCCCCATTTCCCGGCAGGGATGCCGGCACTAGGCTCCTTTGTCCCTGGGCAGGGAAGGTGCTTTGGTTAGCAAATCCTAATCTTTAGATTCCATCAGCAAAGCCATTAGCAGCTTTTCAAATCGCCTACAGAGTGGACATTAAAGTTCTCACTGCCTGCCTGAGGGAAAAGTAAACAGAATCATGGATGTGTGAGGACACAGGCTGGTACCAAGGTAGGAGAGCCTGTGCCTGGACAGGAAAAGCGTGGCCAGACCAGAGTATAAGAGAGAGGCCAGGCTGGCCCTGGCGTCGCCTTGGTCTGCAGTGCGGCCTGTGTGTCGGTGGGCAGTGGAAAACCAGCACCATGAAGATCCTGGTGGTGGTCTTGATTTGTCTGCACCTCTCAGAGGGCTTGGAAAGGTGCGTGGTGGGGTTTGGTTTCCTTGTGATTTCCGGTCCCCTGGGGCACAAAGACTTGAGTGCTCCTGGAGAGACAGTGAAATTGTCTCTTGGTAACATCCCCTCAGCATCAATAATCTGGAGGCCAGAACCTGAACTGGATGGATGGGGTGTGTGTGTCGGTGTGTGTGGAAAAGGTGGTTGGGAGTTTTGTTAGCTAAGAAGGAAACATGCATCCACCTTCCTTCTGAGTGGGGCAGGGAACATGGAACTTCCCCTTTTCCTGGGGACCCCTGTTACCAATGGACATTTGTTCTCTGGCAACAATATACAAACCAGTTAAACAGAATGTAACCCCGATATATGCAGGTGTCTCCAGGCTGGGAATGCTGATGTTATCAGAACTTGCTAGAACCCTGGAGGACTTCCTCCACTTGGGTGGAGAACTTTAGAAGCCCCAGAACTCCAGGTCATCTAGTGGAAGGGATTTTGCGAGGGGGTCAAGAGGGAGGTAGCTTATTCCTTTCATGTACCTTGCTCTCGGCAGAGTCATTCTGAGGAAAGGCAAATCGATCCGCCAGAAAATGGAGGAGCGGGGTGTACTGGAGACGTTCCTGAAGAGCTACCCAAAGGTTGACCCTGCTGCCAAGTACCATTTCAATAATGACGCTGTTGTTTATGAGCCGATCACCAACTACCTGAATGTGAGTGAAGAGGGATGCGGTGTCCGTCACCCCTGACCCATGTACACACCCCCTCACACTGCACGCTGGCTGTTTGGACTAGTACTAAACCCAAGTCTCGCTCTCCTCGGCCAGAGCAAGTTGTGAGTTGGTAACTGCCAACCTGAAGTAGTTCCCTTTCCCTTCTCCCTGCCTCATTACTGGTCCATCTCTCTGAAGTCCTATTCACATGCCTAAGACCCGTAGAAGGGTTGGTCATGTCAATGAAGAGACGCAAAGGATGTGCCAGGAACGAGCTTCAGGGAAAGAAGGAAAACACACTCATGGCGCCAGGAAGCCCCCAGCAGCCCCAAACATTAGATACCCTGTTTCCTTTTGTAAAGTCACACTGGTGCCCCGAGCAACTTTTTGAGCATTCCTGAGGCTCAGGGCATCCTAACATCCTGGGACCTCTGGGTCGCTCCGAGAGGCATGTTACAGAGAGTGTCAGACTAGAAGCCACTGTGGGGTCTCCTAAGAGGCATTCAACTCCCATGTTGCAAGAGGGAGGGACTAGAGGCGGGAAAGTGACGTGCCTGGTCCAGATTCATTTAGAAACACACCATCTCTCAGCGAGAGTCTCCTGCTTCTCATGCGACTGCTCATCCTAGACTTCCCAGCACCCTTCGCGAGGATGTGACCAGGAGCGAGAAGAAGGGTGTTGGAAGTGTCTGACACTGGAAGAGGAGGGAAGAAATTAGCTGTGTGTGTGCTGCAAGGTGGTTGGATACTGCAGAAAGAGGAGAGAGGGTTTGCTTCTCCAGCTTCAGGTGTGGTGGGATAGCAGAGGGAACTTTGGAGGCATCGCCTTATTGCAAAGGAGAAAACATATTTAGAAGAGGGTATTGTCTTGCCAGACTAAGTCTTAGGCAAAGGCTGGCAGTGTAGAATATTGAGTGGGGTTGGCTCCAGAGGGGAAGGAGAGCTTGTGGGAGAAGCCTACTCCCTCCGGGATGCAAACTGGCCAAAACGTGACTTCCAGTACATGCACTTCTTTCCTTGCCTCGGACAACGTCTAATTGCTAAGTGAGGGTGACACATCTTTCTTTGCAGGATTTCTACTTTGGGGAGATCAGCATTGGGACGCCACCCCAGAATTTCCTGGTTCTCTTTGACACGGGTTCCTCTAACCTGTGGGTGCCCTCCACCTACTGCCAAAGCCAGGCCTGTTGTGAGTACCACTACCACCTCCACCGTGGCTGGAAACAGGCATGCGCAGAGCAAGGGCCAAGTCCACAGTCCCTGTGCCTGTTCCCTGCCACGAACCTTTGGAAATCTTGCTCTCAATTTACACTTTCTAAGCGCTGCCTGCTCTGGAGAAGGGAAGCAGAAAGAGCCTAAGATGTCCGCCCCTTTCTACCGCTTTTTTCCCTTTGGCTCTCTCCCAAGGGAGAGGTGACCCAGCCTTCAAACAATGGTGTGTTGCCTGTCATGCAAGATGACTGACTTCTCTGCAGCTAACAGTCCATAGTACAAAGGACCTGAGGCTGAGATGCCTCCAGCCTTGGCCCGATGACCCCAGGCCACTGCGGCTAAGTTGCTTTGAAGTATTTTGGAAAGCAGCGACTCACACTAGTGTTCAATCTGTCTCTCTCCAGTCAAACACAACAGGTTCAACCCTGGACAGTCCTCCACCTTCAGGTACGACGGACAAACCTACAACCTGTACTATGGCAGTGGCAGCCTGAGTGTGGTCCTGGGCTATGACACCGTTTCCGTGAGTGGCTCCTATTTCCCAAGGCCGTGAGCTGTCGTAGACATTTGCGGTTGCTCATAGGTACAATTTTCCCAGATGCCCAGGGTTGGAAAGGATGCCACAGACCATTTCACACAACCTTCTTCCCCAAACAGGAATTGCTTCCCCAGCATTCCTGTCTGCAGAGTTATTTATGCAGTGCTACAGTTCGCTCTTGTGACATTGCTCTCTGGTCTTGGTGCAACTCTCTAGAACCACATAAAATAAATCTGCTTCCTCCTCTATACTGTTTCACTTTAGATACTAGAAGACAGTATTTCACAATTTTCTTATTCCTTGACTCAAACACCCACCATTTCTCTCCCATTCCTGCACATGGGTTGTTCAGTCTAAAACCAGTCACTGTCCTTTCACTATTGACAGACGTGGACAGAAAACAATTGATTCTGCTCCCCTCAAACTCACACTCTTTTGTCAGCTACACAAGGTTGAGTGATGCTTCTGCCTTTTCACCTTTCAGACTTAGCCCCCCATAACTATGCTCCACATGAAGTCAATTTCCTCTCCTCAGAACAGGTTCTAGCTTCCAGACCCTGAGCACCTAAGTTTAGGCAAGATTTGCCCACCTGAGGTGACAAGCTCTTTGGTCTGTTTGCCTCAGGTTCAGAACATCATCATTCGTAACCAGGAGTTTGGCCTGAGTGAGAGTGAGCCCACAAGCCCCTTCTACTACATTGACTTTGATGGGATCTTGGGGATGGCCTACCCCAAACTGGCATCCCAGAGCTCCCCGACGGTCATGCAAGAGATGCTGCAGCAGGACCAGCTCACTGAACCCATCTTCAGCTTCTACTTCTCCCGGTGAGAGCCTCCATCTGGGAAGCAACAAGGGCCCGTGGGGACTCTCGACTGTGAAAGGACCAGGCTACAAAGTGTCCTGACCCAATGGCTATAAGTTGCCACACCATTTTGACACTTCTGAAAGTTTGTCATTACATTTTTGGGAAGAATTTTACTTCAAATGCATCAGAAGAATCTTTAAGACCAGAAGCCATATGATGACTCTTTTCTTAATGGTGGACAATGTTCCCTCAACATTTCTTTAGTAAATCTAGAGCTGGCTGTAACTAGATCTGCCTAGCTACAGAGGAAAAGCCATTTAAACACTTCACAGGAAGGAGAGCAATAATGAAATGATAATTATGATTATAAACCCCTCTTGCTTTAACTGTTGCTGAGGCTATGGTTTCAAACAACACCTCAAAATTCCTATTACCTTTATTTTGCAGAAACAGAGACTTAAATAGTTGATGTCGAGCAAAGTCACCAAGCAATATGTGTGAAGTCAAGGCTCAGATTCAAAATCTGGGTCGCAAATCCGTACTTTTCTCACACCACCTAGTATGGAAATTTTGTGTCAAACTTTGCTCGTCCATCCTTCTTTCTTAAACATGTGGTCCTCAGGGCACTTCAAGTCCAAATGTCTTTAATGTCGGAGACTCAGCATGGGAAACATCAGAGACCCTTTAACACAGTCTGGTGGCCGACCTTATGGAGACAGGTGCCTCCATCAGGGCGCCCTGGAAATCTCCACCCGTCCGCTTCCAGGTGTTCTCAGAAGCATTTCCTCTTTTCCTTTCTTGTCCCAGAGAGGCCTGCTCTGGAATGTTTTTAGTTTTTAGTTTTCTTTTTTTTTTCTTTTCTGCAGGCTTCTGTTTTCCAAGTCTAACCTCTCTTTTTTGGGCATAGTCTGTGTTTTCACTTGTTTGATGCCCCAAGTGTTTCTTTGAGAAGTGTCCTCTCCCTTAAGCCTGGGGCCAGGGAGAGTCTGCAAGAGCAGGGGGCTGGCATCCTCCAGGTGGTGGAATCCGTGTCTGCAGGAGTGAGGGTGGGGCCGTGAGGAGCTGCCTCAACCTCTGTGCTGTGAGAACTCATATTGTCCATGTTTCTCCCAGCCAACCAACCTATCAGTATGGTGGAGAGCTCATCCTGGGAGGCGTGGACACTCAGCTTTATTCAGGTGCAATTGTCTGGACCCCTGTCACCCGCGAGGTCTACTGGCAGATTGCCATTGAGGAGTAAGTAGAGGGCTCGCTGCCAGTGGATCGTGGACGTGCCCGGGGTGTTTGTCCAGCATGAACGGATTTCCCATTCCTGTCATGGTGGATTCCTTTCCTCCACATGACAAGGATTTCTTTAAAATTTACAACAATCCTTGGCTGAGGTAGTCAGGGGGCTCAGTGGACTCTGGAGCCTGGCTCTTGACTGGGCTTTTTTTCTGAACTGGTGACAGAGCTTTGTAATACCAGCAGGGCGGTGGTGCCCAGTGAGTACGAATCCGTATTTTTGTTCCTGGAAGTTGCATCGTTCTGTTCAGCAGAATGTCCACCTCTCTGTCACCTGTGAAAGTATAGCTGCTACCGGTGCTTTGTAGGTGCCAGACACTACACTTTCACAATCCCTGGTGTATCATTTCCACAACCGCTACAGGGGGGTTAGCAGTCGATTCCACCTCCACAGATAAATCAAGACCCAGAGGTGGGATAATTTATCCACAGCCACACAGTTTACACTGTTCAAGATCTCCCCACCAGCATATCTGGTCCCAAAGCTGAGAATCATGAGGAGGAGTTACTTCCACACTTCAAGGCCCTCAAGAACTGCCCCACACAAGTGCCTACAGACACAAGCCCTTTGGTTGGGAAGCAGGTGCGATATGTTCACGGGTGTGGCAAAGCCTTGGACTCTGGGAGTTGGTGTCTCTCCTCAGGTTTGCCATCGGTAGCCAGGCCACCAACTGGTGCTCCCAGGGCTGCCAGGCCATCGTGGACACTGGCACCTTCCTGCTGGCTGTTCCCCAGTATTACCTGGACTCCTTTCTGCAGGAGACTGGAGCTGAGCAGGCCGAGAACGGTGATGTGAGTAACCAGAAGCCAAGGGTCTCCTGCATAGTCAGGCAGCCTCTGTGAGAGAAGAGGAGACTTTGGGGGGTGGGAGCGGGACTTGAGTGTCTGCTGGGGATACAGCGTGGCATTTCAGGCCTGAGCTCTCCATGCAACAAAGGGGGGCGGGGGTGGGAGCGACAGCAACCCCATCCGGACGGTGAGGGCTGAGGGTGCTCGGGAGGTGCAGCTACTTGGTGAAAGGGCCTCAAAGCACATTTCTCTGGGGTCGCCTCGCTGTCATTTGCACTGACAATGCATTTCTCCATTCTGCTTGGGATTCTTTCTAGGAATCCGGTAGCTTCTTGTCCTCATCTCTGCTTCCCTTTGAACACATGTCTGCAGCTTGTGTCTCCTGTGTGCAAGTGTGAAGGCCCAGAGTAAATTTGGGTTCCTGTGTGTGTGTGTGTATTTGCGTGAGAGAGACTGAAAGAGGGATAGAGGAGTAAGTGGATAGGACACACAGAGAACACACAAGGGTGCGATTCTGCAGAATATTCTCATGCTTTTTCTCTGTAATTTCTGAGGTTAGAAATTGTGTTCTAGAACTTGAATCTACCACTACATAATAAAACTGAAGTCTAAGAGTAGAGGTGTTTAAGGAGAGGATTCCAGAAAACAAGGGGTCCTGTCTAGGAATTAGGCCTCACCTTCCATGCTCTAAACAGCCTCTGCTGGAAGGACAAGAGATTCTCACAGAAGAGGGGACCCGGACCCCTTTTCTGGGCTCCCCAGGCCTCTGAGCTCACTTTGCCTCTTCTCTCCCAGTACGTGGTTGACTGTGACTCCATAGAGCGCATGCCCACCATCACCTTCGTCATCAGCGGAGCTCAGTTCCCTCTGCCCCCCTCTGCCTACGTCCTCAACGTAAGTGTCCACGCCTCTGCTCCTGCCCTTGGATTGGATGGGCTGGGCAGACACTCAGCGGCCCACTCACACACAGCTGTGGGAATCTTCAGGGCCAGGGCTGAGGGTGGATGAACAGTCAGAGGCATGTGTCAGGAATTGCAGGATGGTGGGGTCCTGTGGGAAAGGTCTCTAGCAGCCACCGGCTAGATCATCATGTCTTTGTCTCTTCAGAATGATGGCTACTGCAGGCTTGGGATTGAGGCCACTTACGTGCCCTCGCCCAATGGGCAGCCCCTGTGGATTCTGGGAGATGTCTTCCTCAAGGAGTACTACTCTGTGTACGACTTGGCCAACAACAGGGTGGGATTTGCCTACTCTGCCTAGGCTGGTGTGCTCCCCATCTGCAGGGCCCGGGATGACCCCAGGGCCCTGCAGGTGGAAGGCAGCATCTTTGACAGTCTCAACCCCTTCAGGGACTTCTTATTTACTGCAACTAATAAATCATGAAGCTCCAAGTGCCTTTGATCTTCCTTTCCTGGTGTGTTCTACTTTCCGTCATTTATTTAAAACCGAAGCGTAGCAACAGTTTTATTTGGGAGATCAGTGAATTGATCCACTGGAGACAAAGCAGAAGAGGCTGCTGAGCACGGAAGTCACGCAGATGTTAAGCACACAGGGGTTTGGGGGTGGTGCTGGTGGAGAGGGTCTCTGTGCGGGTGATCACCCCGCCCAGCACTCTCTTCTCCAAGCTTAGAAAAGAATGTAAATCACAGCAATGCCAGTGTAACAGTGGTAAAGGGGAAGGAGGGCAAGAAGGTTTAACAACATTTCAGACAGATGTTCTGAAGGTGACTCTTCAGAAAACTTGTGTTTTGAAGGTAGCAGCACAGGGATTTGATATGATCTGCCATTTCCGGCGCTCCCATTACTTCCTAGGGTACACTAGCTGCTTTACTTACTCCCTGTATCTGCCTGGGCCCAAAAACATTGAGTTTCAATCCTAATTTTATTTCATGGTGGAAGGAGCTGAGGCATGGAAAAGTGATTGTGCATTAGTGTTAAAATCAGGTCTGGGCTTAATAAATATTTCAAATGTGTTGTGAGCAATAGGCCTGCTATATGCAAGCTACCAGTGCGTGCAGATGGAATGAGGCATGGCTTCGCCTGCTTAGGAGTTTTCAATCAAGTACAGCCTTTTGCTTTGAGCATTTCCCCCTGTTTGGAATCAAAGCGGTAGCTGCATTTACATCACACAGTTATTAACAATCATGTAGAGAAATTTCTCTCAGTGCAGAAATGTTGACCCCAGGGAATGAAGAAAAAAAAAAAACTGGTTTAACTCTGGTATCTAAAATGTGTATCAACCAATATAAATAGAACGAGAGCTGTATTTAGAAAGTATTTAGCAAGTGTTCTCAGTCCAGGTGCAGCAGAGGCTTGGGGCCCGGTTTCTTGCATCATCACATCAGGTCCCTGTGCATCACATCAGGTCCCTGTGCTAACACACAATGGGGCTGGTCTTAGCAGTGGTGTCGGGAGCAGGCCATTCTGTAAAGGGGGGTCCCCGGGAAAAGGGGAAGTTCCAGGTTCCCTGCCCCATCCAGAAGGAGGGTGGAGCTGAGCACAGAGAAGGAATCTGGCGGAGAAGGAAGCAGGGTGGAGAGAGCCAAAGGCACCCTGAGGAAACCACATGGAGCAGAGAGACATGTTAAGAAACTGTGCTTGCTTCATGGTCCTGGACAGGGTGAAACAGATGTGGGTGAGAGACCCGTGGGGAGGTGACTATGGCAGCGTTTATCTTGATTTTGATTTTGCTCTTTTCCTCCCAGACTTGTCTGGCCACGTCTGACCCTCTTCTATGGGTCCCAGCCAGAAGGTGCTTTAGGCTTGTGGCGGCTTTCAGGCCTTGCTTTGGGTCAGTCCCTTTTGGGTGGACTTCTACCCAAAGGGGATGGGTAAAAGTTTGATTTAGAAACTATATTCTTTGTCTTTTCTGTATTGCACACTCATTGTATTAAATTTCCTTTCTGTTAAAGCTCTTTTTTCTTGTCTGTCTGGAGGCAGCGGATGGCAGACCCTATTTACAGTAGGCAGGTTTGGGGGCTCGATGGTGCTCCCCTCTCCCTGTCCTGTAATTCCTCTGTGCTTTCATGATGTATTTCTCTTGGCGATGAAATAGACTCTTTTTGTCAAAGGGAACAGGCCACAGGTCAACCCCAAGTCACCTCCATCCTTCTCCCCTGCCCTATCGGCCAGTGTCCCTGTCTCAGCATCATGTCGACATGCTCTCACTTTTGGCCTGCATTCCATGGAGCAAAGCTCTTGAGTTAGAGATATCATTTCTAGGAAGTTCTCAGTATACTTACTGAGTTACAACCAGATCCAAGCTATCGCAAGTCACCTGAGATTACCAGCACATACCAATACATAGTATTGGTAAAGCCAGAGTTAGAAAACTTGATCTACTCCTGGACTATAGAAAATCACACCCACAGAGACTCCCTCACAGCTTAAGGTGTGTTCTGCCTTGTGGGTTGGGGACAATATTTAGCATCCGTATATGAATGTTCTCTGCCATCCACTAACAGCTCTGTCCACACCACCTTCTATCTCCTGTGATAGAGGGAGTGGGGTGGCTGCAGAGAAAGGGAGGAAGGAGAGCTAGAAAGGGGTGGGAGGAGGAATGGGAGAGAGAGTGAAAGAGATCCATGAACCAGAGAGGTGGGAGGAAAGAAGAAGGAATTCAGATGGAAAGAGCTGGAAGGTAACAGAGAAGTGAGAAGAGATAGAAACTTTGGAAGCTGGAGGTGAAAACAGATTGGGGGTATCTCGAGAGAGCTGCTCCAGAGCAGTAACTCTGCAAAAGTGTAGGGTGGATAGTTCAAGAAATGTTGCCTATGCTTATTAATCAAAGCCCTTCAATGTTCTTCAAGAGCTGAAGGAGAGAGACTATGTTATTTTCCCCTTTAAAATACCCAGGTCTTAGATGTCTTGCTGCTAACGAGTGCTCAGTAAATATCACCAAGTTAGTGAGAATACACGTGAGATAAAAGCTGTAGCAGTGAGTTCTGCGAGAGAGACAGGAAAGAGGGAGGGATCACAGAGGAATGGTTCCATTTGGGAAGTTGGTGAGTAAGAGCTGTGAGGCAGCTCATGCCGAAGGACCGGACCGGCAGCAGAGGCTGGAGAGGGTGGGTGTGACTCCAGAGCTGCAGGAAATGGACCCTGGCTGGGGCTGGAACACACGGTCCCTGGAGGGAGCAGCAGGCAAGGAGCCGCCCAGGTGGGCTGAGATCGGGTGAGCAGCGGCTTGCTTAGCTCTCTCCAGGGCTCAGCCTGCAGGGTGGCACCCTCTGCGCTTCAGAAAGTGCTAAAGCACAAAGAACTGCAACCAAAGGCGGAGCGTGAGCCCCTGCAAGCCAGGTCTCCCTGTATGCCGCTGTCCCCCTGGAGGCATGGCTGTGCCCCGGAGCCACCGGTGCCAACATGCTCCATGCTGCCCCCCTTTCTTCCTCCTCCTCACTCACACCCCACCAGTGACGTACCATTTAGCCCTATCGCCTGAGTGGAAGGGGAGGCGACAGAGGAATGAGAATACAGCTCAGGCCAGCAGGTGTCTGGGTTGCGACTGGGGAATCCAGATCAAGGCGCCTTCACATTTCTGTTCTGTACGCTCCGTCCATTCATCTGTATTTATTCAGAAGCCACCTTGGGGCAGCTGCCAAGATCGGAGGGTGAGTCAGGCAGCAATCCGCCTCGGCCTGAAGAGCGTGTCTCGCTCCAAGGTGGGATTTAAACACGTGAGACCCTAGCCAGACGAAGCTAAACAGTCCTGCGTCTTGGCCTGGTGTTTACTGCCTCCACGCCCCCTTGTGGAGCTCAGTCAGGCCTCTTGAGTGGCAGCAGCTGGAGGCTAACCCCTGTCTGCTGCCTAAGACCCCTTGTGATCTGTGCTGCAGAAGCTGCCCCAGTGGGCTTGCCCGAGGGCACGGGGGCCCAGCAACTGCCTATCCACTAGAGAGAGGAAGGACTGTCACTTCCAGGAAGGCATGCCATTAGTGAGCAGAAGAGAAGCACTAGAGGAAATTCTTGGCTGGTGTTATTAAGCCCTTATCAAGTCTTACCCCAACAATGGTGGGCCTGGCTGATATTGGCCATGTTATCTCAGTCTGTATTTCCTATGACTATTTTCTGGACATTTTTTAGGCTACAGTTTTATTCATGGAAGGGTAAAAAGAACAAAGCTCTGGGGTATTATTCCCCCGCAACCAGGTAATATGTGAATTTGGTGAGCTCAGCACCACCCAAGGAATCAGAGTGGCCTCTGAGGTCACACAGTATTATTACCTGAGTGCCTGTTAGGGGTGGATCTCGATGGGCATGATGGCTCCTTGGAGATTTCTGGGACAAGTGAAGTCATTTTCCTAGAAGAAATTCAGCTACTTAACTCTGAGAGGAGAGCTAGTAGATTAAAATACTTCTCGCACACTAAAAAGTGGGGAGCCATGCCTAACTATGTGTGAGAGTATAGACTTGCTTCGTTGCTCCTGAATTTAAAAAACAACACTCACTAGTACTGAGAGACAGAGATTCATATTTTTCAGATCAATACAACAAATACCTTCCTAAGCCAGCTGTTAGGTGGAAAGGCCCATCTCTGCCCTTCACCAGCTGTCTGGGGTGGTGGCTGACGCATAAATAGTCCAGCAAGAGCTAACTGACCATCATCACGCTGGTGGGACTTGCCAGTCACTTCTCAGGTGGGATGTTTGCCAAATTTTCATATGGAGAAGAGAAAAGTAAAGGGGTCCTGGCTGACAGGGGAGAGAAAGAAAATGGGGAACTGAGTCCCTTGCACTCAGCCAGCCAGGTGTCCCAATTTCTAGGGCCTGGGAAGCACAGTTGGAAAACAAAAACAAAAACCCAATGGCAATAGGTAGTCCCTCACATCTGTAGAAGCATCTAGAAGTGGGGGTCGGTGGCCACTACCACAGCTGCAGCCATCACGAGGCAGCCTCGGGGTCCACAGGCCCTCAGGCCCCTGTGCCTTGTCCTGCCAGGCTCCTGGATTTCATCAGTGTGATGACCTGTGACTTTCATGGAGGCTGGGACACCGTGGCAGGACACAATAGCCTCCTGCACAAGGGCTCCACGACCGTGGGGATCTCGTTTACATCAACAAGGTAAGGCAGGGCCACAGGGAGCCCTGAGAAGCACCCCTGGGGGGCAGGGGCTGGGCCACCAGCTTTGAATCTAGTGTCACGTGTTCCCCTAGGAATTTGCCATGAAATACTGGCGAGACAATGGAGTTCCTGCTGAGAAGCTCGTTATGGGGTTCCCCACGTACGGGCGGACCATGCGCCTCAATTCTTCAGAAGTGTTTGTGGGAGCACCCATGTCTGGGTCAGGGTCCGTAGGACCCTACACGCATGAGGCTGGCTTCTGGGCCTACTATGAGGTAATTTCTCCCGGAAGAGGTGACCTAGAGATTCAGGTCAACTGGGGAGTGAGGTTAGTTTTTGAGTTCCCCATGTACCCCAAATAAGTGATGACAACATTCCCCAGGGAAAAGGCGGGAGGCTTGCTATGTATGAAGCTGACCTTAATTTGGCTGCTAGTTAGGAAGATCTTATGTCATTTGTAGGGGAGGTGGCCAGTTCACAGTACACACTGTGGCCTCCATTACCGCTAATTTGTAGTGTTAAAATGACACGTTCCTTTTAAGAATGAATTGAAACCTCAAGAAAAATGTCAAGTGTTTTAATTGTTGCTTTTTAACTTCAAGAAGAGAAAAGCTTTTTGTGACTCTTCTGTGAACTCTCTGCCATGCTCAAGCTACTTCTACCTAATAATAGGTCTAAGGTAACTTCTTGGGCCTCCTGTGTGTCAGGTAGTGAGCTGGGCGTTAGAAGTACAGTTAAATATGAAACAGGATCTGTCTTCATGGAGCTCAAGCCCAAGTGGATGAAGCCAAAACACAATGAACTAGTTACAGTAAAGTGTGATTTGTGCAACAATAGAATTGTTAGCATGTGAACATTTAAAAATGACAGTCCCCTCTCCTGGTGACGTTGTAAAGTCTCAGCCCATTTTCATGACTTGCTAACTTGGGTCCCTCTGATCAGATCTGCACTTTTTTACCTGAAGCCACCACCTCATGGACTGAAGACCAGAAGGTCCCCTATGCCTACAAAGGAAATGAGTGGGTTGGGTTTAATAATCTTGAAAGCTATGAGAACAAGGTCAGTTTCAGCCTGTGGATCTTAAGTTGACATTATAGTATCTTTGCCCTTGAAAAAGTCACTATTTAGTTGAGTCCGGAAAATGCCAGTACAGCAGAACTTTGTCTTAAACAAACTGATTTTAAACCAATAACTTCCCTTCCTAATGCTGTTTCCTATTCCAGAAAGTTAGAATAGATGATTTCAGAGCAACCTTTCCCATGTTCTTTTGAAATATATATTATATATCTTAAATGGAAAATACATCATATATTAATAGTATAAATCACACATAATACATATTAATATAGCGTAACTCACATATAACTGCCATATATATCACACATACACATGAATTACTGACTTGTACCTTCCACAAACACATATACACATCAATACCCAAAAAAATCTTCACGCATAAAACACTTTCAATTTTTTTGTAGTGAGATCCAGAGCTTCTGTAAGGAAAACATCATATTGGAAAATTTCCTTTTCCTTTACCAACCTTTTCTTGACCAACTGCCCTACCTAATCAATTTATTGATTCAATTGTCATCAATAAAAATGAAAAGATTTTTCTATCATTTAAAATAAGTATAAAGATTAAATAGAAACCTGAGAAACGTTCATTTCTGATCCAAAGTGGAAGCAAAGATGAAAAACAGTATGGATACTTTTATGCTGTGAAGGTGACCTTATCAGGCAGATGTGCAAAGACTGTAATTAACCTGCAAAAGCAGTTATTGTTTAGTGGCAGGATGATGTCCTTTGCATTTTCATCTTAAAACCGTTTCAGTTATACTGTGTCATGCTTTTCATCATTTTAGTGTTTTCAAGGGCAGTCCTGGTTGATAGATCACTCTTCTATAGCAGGTGAAGTTCCTGAAAGAAAATGGGTTTGGTGGTGCTATGATCTGGGCTCTTGACTTAGAGGACTTCCTGGGCAGCTTCTGTGGTGAGGGTGCCTATCCTCTGATCTCCAAGCTCATGTCTCTCATGGGGCTGCAGACACCAGGTAATTACAGCTGTCACCTTGGACCAAAGGTTTGATGTACTTTCGCATTCACCCGTTGATTTCCCAGGAAGTCGGGGAATTTTTTTTAGCAAAGAACATAAATTTTCTAGCAGGTGATCATGTAATATTTTGCCCAGCTTGGGACACTTAAATAAGTCTGTACTGTCTCAACTGACCACTAGCATTGAAAGTTTAGGAATTTAGTATTACTGACATCTTTGTACCTCTTCTCTCTCTCTACCAATTTTTTTTAATATTTATTTATTTATTCATATAGAACTGGGGTACAGGCCAGAGATGCGGAGGGTGAGAGGATTCACCAGAGACAGAGAGGGGAGCAGAACAGGCAGATCCACGAAGTACACTGCTGAGGGGAGCAGCGGGCAGGTCAGGAGAGGTCTGCCGCACCATGTGGTCACCTCCAGGGCGGGGATCGAACTCGTGCTGAGGTGGCTTTAGCTTCTTAGTGCTGTGCTTTAACCCGCTGCGCCACCAGGGAGGGCCTGTTATCCTCATTTTTAAATGAGGCTCAGAAAAATCATTCAACGTTGAAAGTTTTAAATTATTACCAATGCATCCACCTCTCCCACAGACATTTACTGTGCAAATGCTATTTCCAGGCAGACTCACGCCTGATAATCATTTTAGATCTGAGAGCTTCAATCAGAAATTGGTATATTGAGCTCCTAATCTGAATCCTTTGCTTTATTCTTAAAGATCAATAGCTCTGAAAACAGTTGCTCAAACTCCAAATCAGGGAGTTGGAAAAACAGCCTAGTGGAAAGTATCCAAAAAAATCAGAAAAAGAAAGAGGAATTAAAAAACATTAATATAAGAGATTTATTGGACTACATCAGGAGGAACAATATTCGCATCATGGGGGTTTCAGAAGAGGGATGGGTGGAAATCCTATGTGAAGAAATTATAGCCAAGAACTTCCCCAACTTGGCATGAAAACAGACATCTGGATCCAGGAAACTCAGAATTCCAAACAAGATGAAGCCAAACAAAAGCACATCAAATATAGACTATATATATATATATATATATATGACGAATCTTAAAAGCAGCTAGAGAGAGCGCCCCCTGGTGGCGCAACAGGATGGGACGCAGCACTGCAGGCAGGCTGCGGCTGCTTCAGTGTGAGTTCCATCCATATGGTGCGGCAGGCTTCTCCTGGCCTGCCTTTTGCTCCTTCAGCAGAGTGCTTCATCGATCTGCCTGTTCTGCTCCCCACTCTCTCTGGTGAGGTCTCTCACCGCCCCTGCACCTCTGACTTGTACCTAGTTCTGTATGAATAAATAAATCTTAAAAAAAAAAGAAAAAAAAAAGCAGCTAAAGAAAAATCAGAGTCATATATCAGCTTATCCTATAAGATGCTCAGCAGAAGTCTTACAGGCAAGAAGGGAATGATTTGAACATATTCAACATGCTGAAAAGAAAAGACCTCTAACCTAGACTATTCTACCCAGCTAGACTAACCCTTAGAATTAAAGGAGCAATAAAGAGTTTTACAGACAAAAGCAGTTAAAGGAATTCATCTCCACTAAATGGCCATTCAGAAGTACTAAATGACTGTATAGAAAACAAAAGGAACTCAATTTAAAAGCAGCAAAAAACATAAGATATATGGGAAAGGAGAATAGAAATCAATTGTAAAATGATAGAGTAAGCAAATTTAAACTGCTAGAATAAGCTCAATGTTAACTTACTTTCAATTTAAAATTAGTTATAAGCATAGAATCCTATATGTAAACTTCTCAGTAACCTCAAAACAAAAATACTTGGAAGAAACATATAAGGGGGTAGAAGTGCAACCCAAATGTTACTCAAAAGCTACAAGGGAAGAGATTAAGAGAATACGGTCTGCAAAATACCCAGAAAACGAATACCAAGATGGTAATAAATGTATGTGAATAACTTCCCTAAATGTTAATAGTCTGAATTCACTGATCAAATGGCACAGAATGGTTGGATGGATTAGAAAATAAAACCAAGGTCATGCTGTCTCCAGGAGATTCATATGAGTTCCAGATACAAACACTGACTCAAAGGAAAAGATTAGAAAACAATCTGAGAAATAATGGTACTTTCATGAAGGCAAAGAGAACCATTATTAAATATGATAAAATAAACCTAAAGCTAAAAAATATAGTGAGGATGGACATTTATATAATGCTGAAAGGATCAATTCATCAAGAAGAAGTAACTCTTATTACCAAAGGGAGACATTGAAAGCAACATGATGGCTAGGGAATTTCAACATCCATCTATATCAATGGACAGATGAACCAACAGAAAATCAATAAAGATACAATGTTAAACAAGAAATTGGACCAGATGGCCTAGTAGACATTTATAGGGCACTCCATTCATAAAACAAACAAAAAGCCTTAAGTACACATTCCTCTCGAGTACATGAAACATTCTTGAGAATAGACCATGTGTTAGGTCACAAAACAAGAATGAATACATTCATGAACATTGAAATCATATCATTTCCTTTTTAAACCAAAATATAGTATAAAATTAGAAATCAGTCACAAAATGAAAGCTGCCACCTCAGTAGCCCTGAAGAGAGGTTCACAAGGGAGATACTGACATCTGTCAACAGCCAGAACAAGATTACCAGCCATGGGAGTCACTCAGGAAGGGATCCTTTAGACCAGTTAACCCCTCCAATGACTATTCCATCCAACATTTGGACTGCAATCTACCAATCCAGAGCTACTTAACAAAGCTGCTCCCAAACTATAGAAACTATATGAAATTTAAAAAATCTGATTGTATTAAATGGCTAAATTTTTGAATAATTTTATTTTTTTACACGAATAGCTTGGTGGTTGATACTTGGTAGGGAGCTTATCCAACACTACAGCCATTGGAGACAAAGCATTCATTTCAATTCAACAATGTTTATTAAGTGTCAAGTCTGTATCATGTTCCAGGAATCCAAAGATGAACTTGGCACTTAGGGCAGGAGTCATTTCCTTCCTGCAAAGGGCAAAAGGAGATTAAATGCCCTGAGGAAGTTCTTGGCCCAACCTGAGGACATGCTTCAAGCCAAGGTGGCACCTGCCGCTGCACCTGTGTTCAGTCTCATCAGTCTGCCTGGCTCAGCCCCAGTTCTGAAGGGTACAGTTGCTGGCAGTGGCAAATCTATGGCCCTGGGGGCATCAAGGTGAGATAAAGTGGGCCCTGACACCTGCAACTTCTGCCTCCCACAGAGCAGTGACCACCCTGCCTGTCGCACCTCTCTCTTCCTGCCTCTCTACTTTCATCTGCTTTTCCTAAGGAATCGGGCTCTAGCAAAAGTGGGTCTCAGTGTTCCCTACACCCTATTGCCACCACCCCTCCAGAAGGAGAAGACAGCAAAGGTATAACTCCACATTTCTCTGGTGTCAGCTGCCTCTCCCCACCCCTGGCCTAGGATGGAGAGAGCTGGCAGCAGCAGCATTCTGTAGTGACCCCCATCACCCACCCCTGCACACCCCTGTACACCCTGCCCCCAGGTGGGGGCACCAAAAGCTCAAGAGGATAAGGGGGGATGATGAGCAGGGGTCACTGTGACCTGAATGGGGCCCCTTCCAGGACCCCTGCCACTGACCTTGAGTATAGGCTCCTCATCAGCTTGTTGGCTGGGCTTCATAGAAGGATGAAACCTTTTCATGCTTTTTGGATATAGCACCATGTAGGAGGAAAATTAGAAGCTTTCAACGAATGTCTCAATACCCCCACATAAGCCTCCCACTTGCTATCCCAGCTCCGAGCTCGGCACCGTGGGACCCTAATTCCCAGTCCAGGGCTCTTCATTCTCTCCTTGGGGTTCCACATCCCAAGAGGGCTACAGTAGGCCTCAGTATTGGGCTAAGGCCTCAAATTATAAGCAATCCCTCAGTGTTGGCTGACTGGGTTGGGAGAGGTTGCTCTCCAACCTCGTGGAGGTGGGAGGCGCTCATTCTCAGAGCCCCGGATGGTGGAGATCTGGGTGTGATGGCCTTGAGGGCCTGTGATCACCAGGCAGGCAGCTGTGCTGCTCCCAGCGTGATAAAAAGGTTTCGCTTTATATAGGGCCCGGCCAAGAGGCGGATGAGGGTGGCTGGAAGCATGACGGGGAGGATGTTGCTCTGGGCCTGTAAGTCTCTCTTTTATCTTGCCTTTTACCCCCTCCCACAGGTCATGGGGTGTTCCTGGAGCTGGAGCAGGAAGGCATACATCTACTTCAGTGAGGCGTTTGGATGGGGTCACTCACATGCTCTGGGCTCTGAGCTTGGGGCCCAAGTCTAGGAATAGTGAGATGGGGCTCTAGCGAAGATCACTGATAAACCCCAAAACCCTTGGGCCCTTGACACCCTGAAAATCTTGGTAGTGGTAAGTCCTAACTATGGAGGCTGTCTGAGGACTTCTTGTACACACACACACACACACGTTTTTATATATGTGTTTTGTTTTAGGCTTGGCTGTTTTGCTGCAGGTGCAACTAGGTAAGGAATAATCAGTCTCTTACCCACACTGAAATCATCCTAATAGTAACTTCTCTATTTTTCTGTCCTTCCAACTCTGCATCTTTTTCTCCTTCTGTGGCAAAGTCAGTATTAGAAACTAAAATCCCAATCCTCTTTTTTTTTTCTTCAAAGATTATTTATTTATTCATACAGAATTGGAGTACAGGCCAGAGATGCGGAGGGTGAGAGGATTCACCAGAGACAGAGCGGGAAGCAGAACAGGCAGATCTGAGGGGAGCAGCCAGCGGGTCAGGAGAGGTCTGCTGCGCCATGTGGGTCTCCTCCGGGGCAGGTAGGAACCGAAACTCAGCGGAAGTGGCTTTAGCTTCTTAGTGCTGTGCTTTAACCCGCTGCGCCACCAGGGAGGGCCCCCAATCCTCTTTTTATAGTTCATCTAATCCAAACTGACTTTCTTTGTAGAAATCTAAGGTACAGAGAAAAAAGTGACTTGTTCTTCATTATTCAGCATAGGACTTGACTCCCTGTTCTGTTAAGTCTACTATGGACCCCACCTACGCTTTCCTTAGTGGTTTTTGTCGCCACCCCCTCAGTTATTCTCATGTTCTTTCTAGCACCGAGGTGTTGGGTCTTGATAAGGGACTTGGGGAGAGTAAATAGCGTGAGTCTGCCTGGAAATAGCATTTGCACAGTAAATGTCTGTGGGAGAGGTGGATGCATTGGTAATAATTTAAAACTTTCAACGTTGAATGATTTTTCGGAGCCTCATTTAAAAATGAGGATAACAGGCCCTCCCTGGTGGCGCAGCGGGTTAAAGCACAGCACTGAGAATCTAAAGCCACCTGCATGAGTTCGATTCCCGCCTGCCCCGGAGGTGACCACATGGCGTGTCAGACCTCTCCTGACCTGCCCGCTGCGCCCCTCAGCAGTGTACTTCGTAGATCTGCCTGTTCTGCTCCCCACTCTGTCTCTGGTGAGGCCTCTCGCCGCCCCTGAGCTTCTGGCCTGTACCCCAGCTCTGTATGCACAAATAAATAAATCTTAAAAAAAAATGAGGATAACAATGTTTTCCCTGTGGGACTGTTATGAGAACTAAAATTTAAGCAAAGCAGTCTATATAAAGGAGTAAATGTGCTTTGGTAGTAGGTGTGCTGTACCCACCTACATCTGTCACCTCCATCATGTAGAGTATTGTAAACCAGTGTAATTGTGAATTAAAAAAATAAGAAAATACCATCGACATTATAAAACAAAGTGATTTAACAATAGTGCTGACACTTACACATGGTAAAAAGAGATTAATGCAGCAACGCAAATCAAACCTCTACATAAAGTTTCCATGACACCATCTGCCACCCACAAAAGCTTGTTTTATTGATAATGAACTCGAGCAGTCTTTGCAGTTATATCTACTCTACAAAAAGCATAATTACACTGACCATTTGCTTTTGTGCTGGCAAATTCGTTGTCTTTTATGTGTTGACTTTGAAGGCTTTCTGAGTTATGCAAGAGGGCCTTCCTCAGATCCTGTTGAGAACACGGTGGTTACTTGTTCAGCAAGGTCTCCCATGGACGTGGGAACCACATGTAGCAGTATCTTCCAGGAACACGCCTTGCTGACTCTTGGGTATAGCCCTTCCCTTTGAAGAGGTCACCAGCAGGTTCATGAGACAGTGGAGGCTGTGACTTGCTGACTGTGCTTTTTCCTCACAGGCTCGGGCTACAAGCTCGTGTGCTACTTTACCAACTGGTCTCAGTACCGACCGGAACCAGCCAAGTTCTTCCCCAAGAATGTGGACCCATGCCTTTGCACGCACCTGGTGTATGCCTTCGCCACCATACAAGACAACAAGCTTGCCCCCTATGAATGGAATGATATCGATGTCCTGTATCCTCAGTTCAAAGCCCTGAAAGAACGGTCAGTGGGAACTCCCAAGTCATTCTCAAATATCCTAAGAGTCTGGAAACAGCTGATAACTAAACGTAAACATCAATGAGGGCAGACGGGGAGGAGCAAATGGCATCTGGACTTTTGAAGTTGTGCCTGGCAGCTACCATTCCCCAGAGAGTCAGGAATGAGGGGGAGCTGAGTCATTTTCCAAAATGCTTGTATCCTGCAGTCTCAAGCAGACCTCACTTTAAAGTGTCTCTTATTTTCTTTTTTTTTTTTTT